TGATAGTTATGAATGATGTGTTCAGTTTTCAGAAAAGCGATGTAGGTTTTAAAAAAATCTTAAGAACGAGAGAAGGGCTTTCATACCTTGCACGAATGAAAAAACTCTCCAAATAGTTAATTTCTTCTAGAAATTTAACGCATTATTCATAACTATCAAAGGAAATTAAATTCTCTTCGGTTCCTTTTTCATATTTCACATTTATGTCATGTTTTATATAGAACTGGATGATTTCAAGAGTTATTAACGTATGGTGGAGAATTGCTCAGGTGTGTCAGAAATAGAAGGTGATAGAAAGACAATTTTTCACTTGATATCAAAAGTTCTTAACAATCACTAGAAGACCAGTTGTGATTGCTGATCATATATTTTCAGTAATTTTCAGCTTACATCTCCAGAAACGAGGAAGACTCGATTGTTGAAGAAATAAGTAAATTTGTGCCATTGATATATACAGCGAGTATTATTAAAGTAATAAATATTCATGATTTTTACTTAATAAAAAATATTTTCCTTTAACTATTTAAACAGCAACAAGAATAGTGTCGTGATCGAGATAAATTAGTGTATGTTTGAACCTGACAAGAAAATATGATGGCCTCAGTAAATTTCTATTCGATAAGAATCGAAATTGATAGAATACAGATCCCTCAGAGAAATTTGTGTTATCAGTTGCATATTCATCAGAAACTGTGGAAAAAGAGACGTTTTCTAAACATCCATTTTCTTCAATTGCATTCACCACTTAAACAAGCTATTGAGAACATTGTTCTTGCTCTTCTTGTTTTTGTTAGAATGGATTAGACTCTCTTTCTCTCTCATATATATTATTCACACTCATAGATAATTAAATGTGGAAAAAGATCTCATATCGTTAATACCGTAATAGCTAATAAATTACACACACGCTTTTCTTCATTAGTACCATCTTGACCTTGATTCTAATTGTGCCCTATTAAACAGGAAGGAAAGCCAAATGAAGTTTATTTTCCTATCTGTGAATAACATTTTACACGTATGATGTAATGAAATAGATTATGCAAGTAGTTATAACATTTAACATGTAAACAGATGTGAATTGTGTATCACATATATATAACAGTACATTTCGTGTGGTAGTTGTTTGTATAGACGAGTATATGTGTTAGTAACAACTAATCGAGAATCAAAACTCAAAAACGTATTTATCGAATAATCGTCAGTCTAAGAGATTATTGTACAAAATGCGCAGGTACGACTTTTCATACCCATTCTTTGTATGGCAGACTTTTGGATGAGATATACCGCCGTTGTCTCGATTAGATTAGTGATTTGACTGGTGATTATCTGTCAGGTTTAAGTCTTACCATCAAAATTATTGGGAATAACTATGACACTGTCTATGTCTATCTTCTTGTTTATTATTGTGACATTTCTGCGTACGAAATCTAGACTAGATGCTAAAATCGTCTACTAAGCAGATATAGATAATTTAACAAACAAGAATGCTTTGAGTCAAGAGAAAACAGTAGTACGCAGAACTGGTGAGATTGAAATTATATTGTATAAAAAGTATGATTATCAAATCAATGACAAGATTGATCATTCAAATCTTTTTTTCAATTGTTCTGATTCAATTTGATAATAAAATTTGTTTTCAATTCTTTTACACTTTTTTGCTCTATTCTAGGCTTATAGTGTGACAGATTTAAAATATGTTGAAGAACATGATTTTCTTCAAATTGGTCTTTCAAAATTACAATTTAAAAAAATGAAACGATATTTAGCAAATGAAAAAAATGGTGGTGGTGGTGGCAGCAGCGGCGGCGGCGGAACATTTTCAACATTAGGCAAATTAGCTAAAGTAAGCTGTTTTATTCATTTCGATAAGAAAAAAACACAGAACTTTATTTCTTTCTTCTCTTTCCTTCCTTTTTACTCATAATTGGTAAAAGGATAAAAATCTATTGAACTCTATAATTCTGTTGTACATTAGCAAAAGAAGAAAAAAAAGTAGAAAAAATGATGAGAACATTCTCATCTGTATAGATGATTTTTAGCTGCTATATAGTTTTTCTTCTCTAAAACTGATTGTTCACTTGCTAACGGTATCGTTGTTGCTTTCTTTTTTCTAATGTTATCTAGAATAGAAAATCTTATCTTTTAAGTTAACGTCATTATCATTCTTCTCCTGTTCAGAAAATAGATTCGAACTCATTTCTTTTTCTCTCTTCTCTCGGTCTATTCTCAGCGGTCAAAATCGAAACAGGTGTTTAAAGTCTTAAACAGACAATTGAAATTTTTGTTGTCACATGGTAGGTAAGTTGGATAGAGAAAATATGAGCTGAAATGACCCCTTCTTAATTGATACCATTATTTTTTGCACTCACTACCATTTTGCTTCCCGTTCTCTGATGTTTGTTTGATGTCAATTAAGACGTCCAAAATGAGACCACATTTTATCAAAAAAAGTGGTCTCAATTTAGAAGACTCGTCTGAAATAAATGGAAATAACCAATTATTGAAATTAAAAACCCATCCTACTATTATTCTTAACAAAACTTGGCATAATTGTTAATTTTCTTTGTTTCAGAAAATAGCTCTACGTTCAGATAGCTCGTTAACAACTCAGAGCACAACAAATTTGCATAATAATAATAATAATAATAGATTTCATGTACATGGAAACGATTTCTCTAAAATTAAACTAAAACGTCAACAATCACTGATTAATGATTCAATGGAATCATCATTCTCGTCTCATTTCTTGAAAAATATTATATCGCCTAATCAAATAGAAATAATTAAACAACTAGGTGAAGGTGAATTTGGAACGGTATCAAAAGCATTTTGGAGAACGAAACAAAATGAATTGGTAATAATTATTTACAATGATATCTAATTAGATCACTTTATTTACTTTTTATTCGTTTTAGTTGACTGTTGTAGTTAAAAGTTTACGTAAAGAAAAACTAAAACAATATAGTACTGATGAAGTATTGAAAGAAGTATCAATAATACAAGATATTGTTCATAAAAATATTGTACAATTTTTTGGCGTTGTTATCATACATGATGGAACATATATGCTAGTAAGAAGAAATTATTCAATATTTTAAACTCTTTTCTTTGAATTTAAATTATAATAAATGATAATTGGTGACTATTCTAGGTCACTGAGTATGCTCCATTTCGTTCATTATACGAATGTCTCATTTCATCTAAAGCCAAAATCGAATATTCTATTCAAATATTACTCGATTATTCACGACAAATTGTCTCGGCAATGGCTTATTTGGAAAAAAATAATTTTATTCATCGTGATTTAGCATGTCGAAATTTTCTTGTATTCAATAAAACACTGATTAAAATTAACGATTTTGGTTTGTGTCGATTATGTCGGACAGAAAAAGATTATTATAAAACATGTTATAAAAATACATTACGTCTGCCAATTGCCTGGATGTCACCTGAAACAATTAATTATTCAAAATTTACAACAGCAAGTGATGTTTTTTCATTTGGAGTATGCCTGTGGGAAATGTTTTCGTATGGAGAAATACCCTGGAAAGGGATGACAAGTACTGAAGTATGTATACATTTTCCATTGTTCTAATAAACATATTATCTACGATTTATTTTAGATTTTGCACACAATTGATACACCGAATCATCAACGATTAGCAAGACCTCTATATTCTACACCAGAAATTTATGACGTTATGTTGGCATGTTGGACATATGAACCAGAAAAACGTCCATCCTTTTTACAACTACAAAAAACTCTTTTTGATGTAACACAGAAAATAATTATTAAAAAAAATAAAATCATCACAATTATTCTTTTGTTCTATTATTAGATTGATTTCAAACAAGTTCGATGGAAAGAGAAAAAAAAATATACACGAACATTACCAAGTGATTTTTTATCATATGAATGTAGTACTGGTGGTTTATTCACAATCATCGATCGATGGTAAGACCCATTTCTACTTTCTATTTTACAAAAAGTCGAAATATGTAGTTGGTATAGTTTTCGGCAAAAAATACTTAAATCTGTTCTTATATCAATGAGAAGTTATTCCATTATGCGTATAGGTCTGTGAGCTCATAAATGACCGCTGTGTTGAATACGTAAATTATACATTATTACCATACAATTTTTCATGTTTATCACCAATATGATGTTTAATTCGACACACAAAGTGTTTTACATTGAATTACATTTAGAAGTCTGGTTGATATGTTACATTTTTTTCGAAAGCATGTTTTTTATTAGGTTCAATACTTTTTTCTAGAGTAGCTTAATACCACTGCACTAGAAGAACAAGTTTAGGATAGCTTGAAATGATAGATAAAATCTTGCACAAAAAAGCTTAGTTTTTCAGAAAATCTCAGAGATTGTAACATCGTTTAATATTCTATTCCTCTATGCCATCTGAGAGGATAATTCTCGACAAAATGAGATATCACGCAACATTATACGACAAATTTTGGTTGAAGGTAGTGGAAGTTACTGAAGGTGTGACAAGTACGAGCCGCAAGAAAAGAGGTCATATGAATATCAATCATATAGATTGATACTGTTTCGAAGCGCTATTTAACGTGAGTGTTCGGTCTCCGACGATTCCAAACTCCTTTATACTTTCCATTTGGGGTGTCCAAGGGGCAGCAGAGATGTTTGATTTGCATTTTTTTGGCTGAGTTCTCGCCGCTCTATACTATGAAAGCACGCCTAAACTGCTGACACGATCCACTTGTTCAGAAAAAAACTGATAGAATTTATGCACTTAAACGGTTTCGTACGTACCTTTCCTTCTACGAAACCTAAAAGGGTTTAGAAATGGTTGTACTTCTCTATACCCTTTTAGGTTTCGTACGCAAATCTTTTTTTTGCAGAGTGCTCTAACCGGCCTCGCGCGAACGTGATAAACCCATACATAACAGACATTAATAACAGGATAAAAACTGAAACAAGAATTGAATCGTTTTTAATGGAATTTCAAATAGATAATAATTATTTATATATTATCGATTCTGAAATAAGAACTTAGAAGAAGCGCAAAAGCGTCTAGTACAGTAAATCAACGATAAATGACTTACCTAAATTACTCAGCTTGATTGAGTTGATTGAGAGAAAGATAAGGATTGAACAAAGCAAAGCACAAAAGAACGACGCTACTATGTGTATGATTTTATTTTATTACACGAATATACGATTTGTGGGAATACTCTTCTGCTGACACTTCGTGTCTGTCTACTATATTCCTACACGGGAAAATACTTAGCAAAAATTTAGAAATACATTTCTTTTCTAAGAAAAGCACAAATTCTGGCAAACAAGTTTTATGCAGAGATATTAGTATTTGTAAGATCTGGCAGCAACATCAATAAAAAACATGCTATTCCTAATCAGTATAAAAAATATTCCGCGAAAAACTATGTTCCAAGGAAAAAGTAATTTATCACTTGTGAAAGTTCTCTCGTTAGTCCACTTAGTTGCCTTAAAAAGAGGTTGAAACAAAATTAATTCATTACGTTGGGTGTTACATAAAAACAATATACTTTCTGTTTCTTTTTTCTATTGAACAGACATCAAGTGTCAGAAGCGTACACAACATTTTTTATTATATGTAAATTTTTTTATATCGTTTCATTGAATTGAGAAGTGTATATGTATGTTTGAATTCCATCCTTGAGAAAAAAAGAAAAAGAACAAGTTGTAGTAGTATCTGTCGTCATTTGACCTAATCTTCGATGGGTTTCAAAAAATTTTAATCAACGCATACATATTGTTAAATTATACGAATAATTGTGTGTACGTGTGTTACGATCGAATTGCGAGAAAAAAAGTAACAACAACGGGAAAAAAAAGAGCTAAAAAGTACACGCATCATCATCATTATTGTTATTATTATCATCCCCATTACAATTTTTCATTTATCGTTTCAATCGGTGCAATTAATGTTTCGTATGTGTCGCAATATACTTGTCATATTCGTTCAGATTACACTTATGCGATAACAAATACAAAAAAAAAAAATTCGTTCGTTCCTTTTTTTTTTCTTTTTTTGTTTCGTTGAACACTTTGATATTCGAAACAATCTATACTACTTAGCTGATAAATCAATGTTTCAATCTTTTTTTCAGTTTAACAGTACCATTATCTTCGACAACTAGAACATCGGTTGACAACACCATAAATAATTATATTCAATGTGTAACATCAAATGGACAAATTGGCTATATTTATAGTGATTACGTTGAACCTGTGCATGTTATTCAATTAAATCGGCAAACATCGGCGTCTTCTTCAGTATCAACAACAATGAATGGGTTTTTTAAAAAAACAACAGGTATGGATGAACGAATTAACATAATGATCTTTATCATCTCTTTTTTTAAGATACAAAAAAGAATTCTACAAAAAAATCTAAACAAATTTCAAAAGAAATGATTGGATTACCGCAAGCAGACTTTATACACGCATTTCACATTGGAGTATCAGGTTAGTTTATGATTCTAATCATAAAATATCTAAAAAGTCTTTTTAACCACAAAAATATTTAATCATAGATTAAAAAACCGAACTGTCAAATCAGCAAAATTCTCATTTAATTAGCAGTGAGCAGTGTTAAGATCTTCAACTATATAACAACGAAAGAAAAATGGTGCATAAGATAGTTTTCTATTCGTGATCAAATTCAAATTCTTTTCTACTAGATTAGACTTAGAATATCATTGTTAGTATTGCTGGATGCCTAGTTTGCTTTAGTTCCACACCAAAGTTTTCGATTTCGCGAGATTGTCTGCTACCAGATAACTTTTCAAATATTTTTTCAAAAGTTATGCTAAAAGGTCGTGGATGATGTAATATGATGTATAAGAAATCTTCTTATAGATACATTCAAATACGAAGGAAAGCCTCAAAAGTTCAGAACTTGTAAGTGTCATTATATGAAAAAGAAAATTGTAAAAAGAAAGAATATAAAGTACATAAATAGAAAAATGAAACTTGATTTAAAAGGGAATATAAAATAAATGAAAAGAATAAATACAAAAAATTTAAGTATACAGGTGTATTCTCAGTGCTCGTTTAAAAGAAGCAATAGTTGCTGATGAAACTACGCCTGAAGTTTCAATCTATGCTTGTACAATAGTACATATTTCTTTATCACTGTTAATGTATCAAAAAAGTGCTATTCTACAACTTTGTATCAACTTTATTTTTTTTTCACATTGATGTTTTAAAAACATCTGATCAAATAAAACTTGAATTTAATTAAAGATGAAAAACCTTATCTTCTCTCTTTCTTTCAAGAAAGAACGTATCAAAGATGGATATAATATACTAGACAATTGTGATAATCTAAACTGTACTATGTTTTAGGTGATACTTTTGGTGACGTGGCTTGTCTGAGCGGAGCAAATACAGAAATTGCAAAAACAACAGCAGCTAAAAATCCTTCGCCAACTTCATCGGTGATTAATGGTATGAAGCTTATTAGAGAATATTCTCTCCTTGAGTAACAAACGAGTAGTTTTTTCTAATTATTAGAATTAGCGTCCAAGAGTGTACCAGCATGTTCGATTCTTCAGTCATCTTTGCCAGATTATTGCAAACAATCATCATGTACAGTAAGTATCATTTAGTCAAGAGGCTTCAACTATCTTTACTTGTTTTTGTTCTATTAGATTAGTAAAACACTTAGTTCCAGTATTGATAACATTGACAAAATGTCAAACGAATCAGAAGAAGAAAAAAAGGAAATGGTATGTTGTTATTCCTTCATCTGGTTCATTGTAAAAGTCAACGCTTTTTTCTCCTTTTAGATTGTCGAAAAGTCATCACCAAATGCTCAATCACTGCTTGATGAAGTTATGCAAGCATTCAGTGAAATTTACGTCGATGATAAAAAAATTCATTCAACCACAAATGAAGAAGCAGTGCTCTCTAAAGTAACTGATATGAGTAATAATATTGTTGTGACAAATGGTCTTCCTCCTCGACCACCAGCCAAACCATTTCGAACTGACCAACAGCAAGAACAAACAACGTTTAATGTAACTAATTTCTAGTGATTTTTACACTGAAAGCTTTTATTATTTTTTTGTTTAGTTTAAACTTGGCCACATTTCTTCAGCAGAATCGATGCACATCACAGACCATGGTTTGTTGATTCAGACTTAAATATAGTTAGAATTTGATTAAGCTTGTTTTTTTCATTCTTATGTCTCCAGATTCCAATAGTCGTTCACCATCGACACTTTCAAAACTACTACCAAAATTAGCATTGAAAAAATCCAACGAATTATCAAGTCGATTTTCTCGCGAACTTGAGCAACGCTTGCAAAATGGTTAGTTGCCTTCTATTAGAATTAATCACATTTTAATTTTTTGTTTACTTTCAAAGGCGACGAATCAGTTGTCAGCGAAGAAGCCAAAAATGCATATGATCTGCTTATCAATGGCTATCGGTCCGTATCACCAACAAGTCTCACACACTCTTGTCATCCAGATTCATCTACACCACTTTTATTACGTTCGCGTTGTACAAGCAGCGATTCTGAACACCATCAACAGCAAGGAATAACACCAGATATTCCACATGAAACTCATCATCATCATCCTGCGGCAATCTTATTCGGTTCCTCTTCCTCCTCGTCGAGTATATCCTTATCTACAACAAGTTCATCGCGTTTACAAAATGATTCAAAAAATGTGTCGTCGATATCTAATTCATCCTCATCTTCGGCTAACGTTGCATCTACACGTAGTTATAACTACAACGATCGTAACTCACATTATTCAGCCACATCAACAGATAATGATATCAGTATTGATCTTCAAAATGGTGAACATCACATATCACCTCAACACAAGAGTACAAATCATCCATTATTTATAGCAACAGGTGGAGGAAGTATCAAAACACAATTAGCCGTTTCAACTGAAACAAGAGATAATTGTTCGGCATCGCCTCTTAGGTAAGAATGAGTATACCACTATAGATTGAACAGGATCTAAAAATAATTAGCTTTTTAGACTTTTTCGATCCGGTGTTGCTCCATCATTATTACCTAAGCCAATTCGACAACAACAACAACAACAACAATCGTCTTCTTTATTGCAAGCACCAACGTCTGATGGATCTCAATTACACACTCCGTCGTCATCAAACTCAAATACATTAGATAACTCGTATAACCACAATGATTCGAATCTTATTCTAGTCGAAGACAATGTATCACTTTCGAACTCCAGTACAAATGCACATTCGTTGCCGTCGTCACAGAAAAATCATCCGACTACGACGACTATTTCTATTGTAGATAGCACCGGACAACAACTGCCACCTCCCCCGGATCTTTCCTCACTTGGCAGTAAATTAACCACAGCTACAACATTACGCACACTTAAGTTACCATTATCAATTGTACAAACGACCCCAATGAATCATTATCGAACAAAAAGTAAGTTGCTGCATGTTATTGTTGGTGATGTGTTCATGAACGATAATGACGTTTTGTTTCAGAACGCTTCAATTTATTTGCGTCATAGTATTAAATGTCTTCCAAAAATTATTCACTAAATGGTATTATAAAATATTGTCATTTGCGGAATTTCTTTTATTTCGATTTTTTCATAATGTGCCAGAAACTCAAAAGTAAAGTACTATTTCCATTTTCCATTTATATATATACGGTTGAATAGAGCTCGTCGAGTTGAGTAAGAATATGTGTGTTTAAATTTTTAAAACAATATTTTAGCGGTCAAAAATTTAAAAACCTCAAAGAGTGTAAAATTCAAAAAGCCTCAAGT